TAACCCCGAAAGGATATCAGGGAAGATCTGCAGCCGGCAGGCCTCATCCCGTTCCCCCTCGCGCTGCGCGCGCTCGCTTTCACACTGGTGGAGGCGCCTCGTAGGGGCACGGCATGTGCCAAATCTAAAGACGCCATGACATGGAAACCCCCCAGATAAGGAAAATAATGTTGGCACAGGCACGTTCTAGCTGGGCATAGTCAGAGCTTTAAACCAGCAGGACAAGAGGTACAGTAGCTTTCAACTCTTGACCGCATGTTTAAGATTGGTCTCATTCTGACAGTCACTTTCTTGAATCGTCAAATCTGAGTGCGTCTGCTTCTGGCGGATTCTAGCGGTGACAAGCTTGGAAAAAACAGGTCCGTCTAATGACAACTGCACCTGTTACTTCTGGCCCGTCCTCCATATGGTCAATAACATTATTCACGGCACTCCACCTTTATCTATCGCGTTTACAACTGATACCGAGCAAGGGCATTGGAACCACGGCTGCGGTAAGCACAGGCCGGTGCTGTAGGAGCTCTTCGCGCTCTTGCTGCGCTTGCTCCCGGCACCTGGAGTTGTCACAGGGGTGGAGGCTATGGAGCCTTCCTAATTTGTATGATCCCCATATGGCCTGTACACCTACATGGGTTTGCTGAAAACATGCTACAACGACCAAGTAAAATGGCTTGTTTGTAGATTTGAGCTCCGCTTGTTCCTTTAAATGGACAGAGAACACTCCGCGACCTTGGATCCTAGATGATCCTAGACTGAAATACCAACCTTGTTGTTCAGTTATGCTCGCTGGTTCGAACAGCCTGCAAAAAGAAAAGATTGAGCCTTGAAGCTGCGAAGGTCAAGTCACCTTCGGAAGTAAGTAGCAACCTTTTCTTTAATATAAATGTTGTTCTTACCCATCAGTACTGTTGCCATTCCTTGCAATTTTACTACTGAAGCTGGAACTACCAACTCTTCCACGAACTTGGCTGGATACAGAGAATCTATCGGCAGCCAACATGCCATCGGCTCATCAGCAATTTCAAGTAGTTTAACACAAAGGACTGAGAAAGGATTACCACTACTGCGTCCTGATCACTGACTGGGTACCCCCACTCATCAAGCTCCTTTTGCAGCTGCTCCTGAGGAAGCACACACTTCTGGTCCGTATTAACAAATCACCCCCGCCATCATTGCATGAGGACATTTCTCTCGGTCTTTACAGCTCTGTATTGCTGTGAGGATTTCTTGTGTCAGCTGATTGTTGGATCGTTGCACAGGTGCCCAGTACACCGGATGCTCTTTCCACAGATTGTCTGGGTGACTGGCGATAATCAACGAAGAACTGCGCATGTCAGCTAAGTATGATTCACTGTGAAAGCTCGGCATGTGGACTTTTGGAGACAAAACCTCAGGGCCATGCCTATGCCTAAACACGATCCTCAAGCCAAAGCCTCCAAATCTCAGTCAAGGTTTACCAGGATATCCATTTGACAAAAATGAACATCAACTTTATCTTGTACTTTTACAACAGGGTATCATAACTCTGTCACATCAACTGGGACCTCCAGGCCAGGGTGTAGGGCTTGGTTTAAAGCTTAAACATTAAAAGCCCAAGCGCATCAGCATCTCGAAGCCCGCAGAAAGCATAGAGCAATTCCGACAAGGAAGGCCCCCGAAGAGAAACCTCAACCCGGGGTCTTCCAGTTTTGCTTCCCGAAGAAGCTGCCAAAGCCTTGCCAGACATCAAGCCTGAACCTTTCAACTCTGCAGGAGCCTCAAGGCTTGAGATTTTCTGTCTGGTGATCAGTAAGGAATAAGGGGATACAATCCCTGTCAGCTAGGTGTGAGATCAAACGTGGCTGCTTGCTCAAGCTAAATGTCTTGGGTAGAGTCGCTGCCTCAGGTCCTTAGCTTGTTACACTGGGGGTCTAACAACTTCTGGTTCGGGCTTGGGTGTCCTGCCCATTGTGGTGGTTCCTTCGGCTTCTCCTCGGCCATTTGGTGTGCTGGATTCGGCTTTGGGGCCCTTGCAGTCCTGTACTTCTTCAGGGCCTCTCTCTTCTTGCCTTCCGTCCTGCCCACACAAACCGGCCATCCCACACCTGAACCCTCTAGGGGTCTAGGGGTTTCTAGGCCCCCCTCCCTTAGGCTGAGAGGCTACTTGCATGAGCGGTGAATCCGACCTGTCGGCCGCTATTGCAGAGGTCCAGGCTGCCTTGGAAAGGTTGAGGTGCCGCTGACAGGTCCGCCACTTCTTCCCAAGGTTGGGATTTTGTTGACCCGCCTGCTGAGGGGTCTGCTGGCCGTCAGACTGCTAGGGGTTCTAGGTCTAGGGTTCTTAGTCCCGAACAACCTCCTACGGTTTCCCCTAGGGCCACCCGTGCTGCCCCCACCCGTGCGGAGACAGCATCCTCCTTTGCGCCGTGCCCGCAGTATTGCCTTGACATCTGCTCTCGATTGTCCTCTTCCTCTCTCTCTGCCTCTGAGAGGGCGACCCGTGCCTGGACTGCCGGCCTTTGGGCTAAGGAGGTTCTGGAAGGTAGGTGGGGCACGCCCTTGCCCTCCGTATCTGTGAGCCTGCGCCCTACTGTGTGCCTGCCTGAGCCTGCCCGTTTCAATACCTACACTGCCTTCCGCAGGGCCGTGGGTCCTCTTGAGGAATCTGACGCTGTCTGCCATTCATTCCCTTCATTGGCCGAGGCTCGAGTTTATTGCTACGCTGCTGGCATTCCCTTGCCCCACTTGCGTCAGTAATGCTGCAGCTCGCCGACTTGCAGTTGCGTGGCGCTGGCTTTGGGCAGCCCTGTGTTCTCTCATGGACTTCCGTCTGCAGCGCCGGAGAAGCTCGTCAGGTCCTCCTCTTGCCCCTTCTCTCTCGAGAGGGGGGATTTCTGTGTGCCGTGCCTGCAGACCTGCACGCCGAGGTCGTGACTGAGTCAGAAGCTCCTCTGCCAAATGCGGCCTTGGGCCCTGCCCGCCTTGCCTCTGTTCCGGCCGTAGAAGAAGACGAAGCAGGAGAAGAGATTCCTGCGGGGCTGGACATATCTGCGATGCTCTTGGACTTGGAGCTCTCTGCGTTGGCCTATATGAGGGTCTTCGATCCTGTCACCGAGACCGGGGTTGTGCACTGCTTTGTTCCCGATGCTCCCCACTTAGCGCCGCAGCATGCTTCCCTGATTCAGCAGGCGAGGTCTTGGATCGGGGAAGAGACGGCCGAGAGGTTGGCTTTCTATTCCGCTGTCGAGGAAGAAGCCCCGCCTCCTCCCAAGAAAGCTGTCCCCAAGGCCAAGCGAGTGACAGTGAATCAGTTGTCGGAGCAAGTGTCGGCACTGGCCACCATGCTTCCAGGTCTGATCGATCAGGTCAAGAGTGTCGTAGAACGCCAGGACAAGTTAGAGGCGGGTGGCCTGCCACATGCCCCTCAGAAGGCGACGTCCCCTCCAAAGCCAGCGCATCAACAGCCTTTTGCTGCGCCGAAGAGTTCTGGCCTGCCTGTTCCGAAGGTGACTGCCCTGACCTCCCCTCCGCCTCGCACAAAGCCCGTAGAGTTGCCAGCAACCACGTCAGGCCAAGGTTTAGCAGGAGGCGCTCCAGAGGTCGATCTGTGTTTTGGGCAGCCGCCCTCGCCAGCAGCTTCGCTTGTGCCTCAGGATGCTATAGCCTTACTCCAGCAGAGCCAGGCCCTTTCAACCCTTGTGGGCCACCTGGTGTCCCAGCAGGATGGGGGATTGGCAGATCTTTCCTCTTCTTCAGGGGTCATAGGGATAGGGGCCAGCAAAGAGGGAGAAGTTGCAGACCGCCTTGGCCGGGCGTTCAGGGGACTTCTTTCTCCAGGTCATGCAGGCAGCTTTCAAACGGCTAAACCCTTCAGCTCCATGTCCCAGCTCGTTAGGCGACTTGTCGGCACAGGTGTCGATGTGCCATTACTTAGAACGGTTCGGGGGGTTTGGGGGGCATCGGGAAGCAGCCTATGTCATGTGGCGCTTGGCCCATGTAGCCGACTTCGGCTCAGCTCTTCCACGCCAGGCCGCACAGCTCGAACCCGAGATCCCGGGCGTTCTCGCCACTCTCTCCTGTGGCCTGGACCACATGTGCGCTGCAGTACTTGAAGGAGATATACTGGAAAGTCTGGGTTCGGGCTCCAAAGCTCCATCTTATCATCAGTCGGGGGACCAGCAAATAGAGCCACCCCCAAAACCCAAGAGGCCACCTCGTTACCCCAGGAAGCCGGTGCCGAAGTAAGTTTTCTTGCTCCTAGAAATTCTAGGTCTGTGCCATGCCTGCCTGAGCCGGCTGCCGCTCTGCATGTGACATCGCCCCCCGACCCCTTGAGCGTGCCTCTTTCTCCTGTGTTTCAAGCCAGGCAACCGGCAGTTGCCCCTTCGTACTGTAAACAAATCTGGGTCCAGCAAACCCCAGTTTCAAGCCTTGAAAGGGGGGTTTGCTCCCCCCCGATTTTGGGGCCCAAGGCCACACAGCGTTGTACCCGGCCCCCCCCTGGACTTTCTGCAAAGCCGGGGCTGGGTACCTCTCTGGACTTTTCTACTGAAGTTTCCTTTGCCAGCTGGGCCGGTGGCTTGCTGCGGGGGGTGCTTCGTACTCGCACTCCCTTCGCTGCCTTTCTTAGGTCCACCTTGCACCTGCCCAGGCCATCTCGGCCTGCTCAGCCTTCAAAGGGTTCCTCTTCTAAGTTGTTCCCTCTGCCTATCCTTCACCCAGGCATCTTTGAGCGCTTTTCACTTGAGATTGGCTCGAGGGCGAGGAGGCGCATCATGCACAGGCGCCTTCTTCACGTTGTTTGCATGGGGCTTAATTTCCTTCATGCCAACTTTGTTCCGCCGCCCTTGGACTCTCTTTCTCAGTCGCCCACTGCTGCACAGCAACGCCTGGTTGCGCATGTGAGTAGACATTTGAAGGCTTTCGGTGCCTCCGTCGGAACTTTTGTGTTGCCTGACGCCGGCCGCCGCAATCCCCAATTGATTGCACGCCTTTCTGAGCTTTCAGCGTTTCTTTCCTCAATGCCTGGTCTGGCTGGTGATGCCTACGCCGACCTGTCCGGCGCGCCGGTTGCCACCCGCAATGACGTTGCGCCTGTGCTTGAGCCGTATCGGTCTTTGGATGTGTCCCGCCTTCGCCTGAGTGGCCGTGGACTTTGGGACCCTAATCCTTTCCTCTCGGATGACCTGTACATGGCTCACAATGAACCCAGCACCCTCTTGCATGGTGTGGATCCGCCTGGCGACTTCCTGCCCGTGTGGACCCGCGAGAGTCCTTCTGAGACTGCTGCCCTGGCTCGGCTTTGGGATAGCCTTGGACTGCTGCATCTGGTCCCTGCCGCGCTGCCTGCCTCTGACTCTTATATGTTAGCCCGGGCTTTTAACTGCTATAAGGGTCCTGATAAGGATAGGCAGGTGATTGACCGCCGTGGGCGGAACTGGGCAGAAGCACGTGTGGGCCGAGCCTTTTCATTCCTGTTGGGCCTATGCTTGGAATGCTTGAGGTCTCCCCTTCTCGTCAGACCTTGCTGCGCTCAGCCACCGACCGCAAAGACTTCTATCACCAGATTGCCGTCTCGCGCTCCAAGGCTACTTCGAATGCTTCGGGCCCTGCCTTGCCCCGGGCCTTTGTTGAGCCTACGTCCGCCTTTGCCTCCATGCTTGCCGACGCCAAAAGCCGTGCCTGCATGTCCCGTGAGCAAAGGGCGACTGTCTGAAGGATATGCCTCTGGAGCCCACTCGTGGCCCCCTCCTTTTTGACAAGGACCATTACCTGGTCTGTTTCAAGGCCATTGCGCAGGGAGATCATCTCGGAGTGGAAATTGCCACCTGTGCCCATGGGCGGCTTCTCGAAGAAGGAGGGCTGCTTGGCGAGACCTCTAGGATCTGCTCCAATATGCCTTTTAAAGGTTGTAGGGAGGCCCAGGGGTTAGTAATCGACGATTATTTCTCCGTTTGTGTGCATGATCTCGATGACCCCCGTGAGCCCCTCTGCTCCCGACGCCTCTCCCAAGCAAAGAGCATTTATAGATCTGAAGGTCTTGCCGGGTCCGATGACAAGGACATTGTTGCTCGTGAGAAGCTGCTTGCTGACTTTGCTCTTTGGCTGTCGGGGCTGGATGTGGGGTTTGATCGTTTACTGGTCGATAGCCTTTCTGGCGCTCACCTGCTCAACAAGTACCTGGTGCAGTATGGTAGGCGTTTGTTCGAAGCTGGATGGCCCTATTCTCATTACAGCGAGGTTATCAATGCCATTGCTGCTCAGGAGCCTCTGCTCCGTAGGAGTCTTCAACCTGCCTGGGACCTTGCCTTTGCTTGGATGCGTGAGGAGCCACATACCAACCATGTGGCGATGCCTTGGCAGTTGCTCTTGGCCGCAATTGCTACCGCTCTGATATGGGGATGGCCACGTGTCGCTGGCATACTGGCTTTGACCTGGGGCGGGGTCCTTCGTATAGGAGAGGCCCTTGCAGCGAAGAGAGCCGACCTTCTTCTTCCTGCTCACGTCAGCGACACCTGTGACTACGCTTTGTTGTCGGTTGGCGAGCCGAAGACTAGATATAAAGCCGCGCGCCATCAGGCAGCGAAGATCGATCAGCCTGATCTTCTCAAAGTAATTTCTCTGGCTTTTGGCAACCTGGGCTTTTCTCAGAAGCTTTGGCCTCAGTCATCTTCAACTCTCAGGAGCAGGTTCAACATGCTGATGCAGCGTTTGGAGACTTCAGAACTTCCCTTCGATAGGAGCCGCAAAATCGATTTAGGTTCGCTTCGAGCTGGAGGTGCAACGTGGTTACTAATGGTTTCCGAGGACGCTGAACTTGTCAGGAGACGTGGTCGGTGGTTAAATCACCGCACTATGGAAATCTATGTTCAAGAAGTTTCCTCCCTCCAGTTTGTACACCGCTTGCCCTTTCACGTGCAGGAGAAGCTTTTTACCTTGGTTCGAAGTTTTCAGGATGTTCTTTCCAAAGCTGAACAACTGGTTTTGATCCGCACACCTTCGGTGGCTTGGTATGCTCAGTACTCTGTGGGATAGCTCGCTTGGTGCAAATGATGGAGTTGTGGGTGGAAGAGTGCGAGTGCTTTGCACAAGTGCCTTGCACAATGGGACCTTCGCACACGCAGTGCAAGCAAAAAGTGGGCAGCCGAAGTGAGTTCGAACACCTGTCAGCTAGGTGTGAGATCAAACGTGGCTGCTTGCTCAAGCTAACCCACCCGCCACGCCCTAGCATCCCACAGAGTGCGAGTGCTTTGCACAAGTGCCTTGCACAATGGGACCTTCGCACACGCAGTGCAAGCAAAAAGTGGGCAGCCGAAGTGAGTTCGAACACCTATATAACCCCTACAACTTTACTCCCTTATTCCTACCAACCCCCAGTTAGGTCTCGGGCGTGGGGAAAAGGAGAAGCCCCCCCTTTGGCGGCCTCTCGCTCGAGCGCCGCTGCCTTAGCCTTGGCTTCTGCAGCCAAGGCATCGCTCTCGCGCGCCTGCTTGGCCTTGCTGGCTCGCAAAATTGGGTTATACAGAGGTTATACAAGGGTTATATAGGGATTTGGGGGTATATATTGGGGATATGTTGGGAAAATGGCAAAGAAAATGGAAACTACTATTTGGGGTTTAGGGCAGTTTAGGGTTTAGGGTTTCCCAAAATTAGGGGTACCTTTTGTGGCTTCTGCAGGGTTATGTAGGACGTTGTGGCGCATGGAGGGATGATATCTGACGCTAGATGGGATCATGCAGGATTTATTTGGGGTGACATACCGGCATGAAGCTTGTATTGGGGTTTGGATTTAGGGCTGGTACTGTAGGGTGCCAGAGCTTTACAGGTCAAGGGTTGGCGCCATGGTTCATGAGGGTGGATATTGTGCAAGTATACTGGCGGTCAACATTGCTTGATTAAAAACATGAGATTCTGATAATGAGAAGACTCCGTCCAACACAAAACACCCACGTTTCTGAACAACACCTCATGCGTGCCGAGGCCAAATCCTCTCCCTGTGTGCCTGGGTCCCCGACTCGCTGCTCGAAGTTCTGCGCAAGCAATGCAGCTCTAGATGGTAGTTTCCCAAAATAAAGGGACCCCAATATGCACCTCAACATACTATAGTCCTTATAATAGGGACCCCCAAACAGGTACCCCGAAGTTTAGGAACAAGCCAGATACGAAAGAGATGATTATGACAAGAACATGCCACGAAACGCTCTGCGCATGCATCACACAGAGATGCCACAGCCTGAGGTTCCAGTCCCAAAATACTTTGGCAGCAAGGAACCAGCTTTTCTTATTAAGAGCTCGTGTAAGCTATTGAAATCTTGACACGCCCTCTAAGTTTCTTCTCCGGCTTGGATACAACCCTGTGGCTCATGACTCCAACCCAAATTAACATCGTGGGTTTTGCAACCCTGCGTCCTTCAGCAGCTGTTGCTGGTTGCGACTGGAGGCTTCCAGAAGGGAAATCTCGTGGGACCTTTTTGTCCGGAGTGTTTCTGACTTTTTTGGTGCTTGGGCCTTTATTCAGAGATCTGGCTGCTCCTTTTTGCTGAGGGCTCAGACTTTGGCACCTACGGCTTTGGATAGCTTACGAAATGGAGTCAGGAAGTTGGAGCTTAGGATCTTGGAGTCGATGACCTGAACCATGCCTGCAGGCTCCGGAGGCCCCTGAATGATCCAGATTCTCACATCGTCAGCGTAAGTGTTCAAGTTAAAGTAATGCGTTTTGACTGTGGAAGCCCCACTCATGCGCGACCTGAGGCGCACTTGAAGGTCTTGGAATCGGACTTCGGGCTCCGCATTTGGGATTTCGGGCTTTGGGAGTGAGCTCTTGGCGCTCAGATACGAACCCCTAAGGCAGATGTAGCTCGTCGACTCGTACGGGTTGAGAACACGCAGCTTTGCTTCAGACCTGGTCGTTTCCACAAAACCACGGCCCAAACAGGCTCTTGCCAAACAAGCAGGCTTGCCAGAGAGCAGCCCTAAGAATACTCTCCCCCAGAAAAAGAGCCATTTGCAGACTACGAGGCCATGCGAAACTCTGTCTGTCTCTTGGAAAGCGCTTAGGCCGACGCTGCATCTCCAGCTTACGACGGAGCTCGCCGTTCACGGAATTCACCTAGTGAGCCACTGGATCAATGCACTTTACGCGGAATCCTAATCCCTGCAAGTATGCACTACGAGACAACCGTATCGAATCTACCGTGGCTTCCAAAGCATTCTTGCAGACTCTACTGCAGAAGTGTCTGATTCGAGTCAAATAAACATTCCATGCAAACTTCTTGCAAGGATGAGCCGGGAAGCGTCATGGACTGTTGAAACCTGAGGGTCAGCCTAGGTATACGCAAACCCTGAACCCAAAGGGAAATCTTCTTTGCCGGGTCTTTACCTTGGGTGTAAGATGATTTGGCAATGAAGTTTCGCCGCGGAGGTATCTGAGGTATCTTTCTTGTGATGCTAGCACTGGCTAAATGAGCAACGGCTAAAGCTGTTTAAATGGCGATTTTGGCCTATTCTGAAACGCCGAAAGGCCCTGCGCGATCCGTACCGAACTCCCACCTCTTGAGGCCGCATGGGATCTGTATGGAACTCTCATCAGAATGGACCAGATATTCGACTATGGGATTTCTCCTACAGGCAAGCCCACCAGGAGGTGCTGGCAAAGCAACATGTAGTACCAAAAGTATGGCTTAGGAGGACACCCACCCTGTAATAGTAGAATAATAGGACCCTAACATAATCCGTATTATCCCTAATAATCACTATTACAAGGTGGGAGGTCCACCTAAAGTATGGCCCTTGCAAACTGCTATGAACTCTGCTCTGCATTGGGTTATCAGTGTTAGAGTTGGCGGTTGCTGTCAGCAGTCATGACTCTGCTGTTGCTGCTTTTGGCATCGCAGCGGCGTTGTCGAACTGACTTCTACTCTTGTTCTTCTCGTTCTCTCACTGCTGTTACTATGAGCTTCTATTGCGATGATTCCCCGGATGCGTCCTACTGTGAAAACTGAGGCGCCCAGCGTCAGCTAATCGCTTCATGAGCACCTCCCCACCCTTTGCTAGGCCGAGCCTCGCAATGGATGGGCTTTAGGGATAGCTACAAATCCCAGCTGTGCGGAAACAGGTTCCGGCTTCGGCTCTTGCAAAATCATTCAAGCACTGTGGTATCATGATGCTAGCTGATACGTGCCCTGTCCCCCTTGAGGGGACATTCACCACTTTCTGCAGGGGGCTGAATTGGCAGCTGTCTGTGGCGCTAGCAGCTGTCGCCTGTTCAATAAAGCATTTACCTCAACGAAAAGCAACTCCAAACCTTTCCATCCAAGCCTTAAAAAGAATTATGTAGCTTAATTAGCTCAGGCAAGGGCAAATCATTGGCTTCAGGGCTGGCACCCAGTTCCATGCGCCTTGCTGACGGCTTGTGCTTGCGAAATGTGCATGCTCAGAAAAGGGGGGCCCCAAACGCATACGCACAACTTGCAAATATGCCAAGGGGTACACAATGCGTACATGTCATGAATACAAGCCCCCCGCCCTGTGTGCAGTGCAACTTCCGGAAGCGGCGGAACCTCCGACCTGGAGGAGGGAAGCAGAAAGGAAGGAAGGAAGGAAGCGGGGGAAGGAGGTTCCGAACTACTGAACATCTCATAGCCTCCTCAACAACAAACAGCACCGCCATCCTTCCAATCCATAGCTCGTTTCAGAGCTTCCAGCCGTTGGAGATTTAGGGCGGAACTTTGGATGTATGATGCCCCGGCTCGAACGAGATACAACCCGGATAAACTGTCAAAGAAACCAAAAAAAGGAAAACTAAATCCAATCAAAGATACCTCTAGCAGATCTAAAAACTTCCTGAATGAAAGCTCCAGTATTCCAAAACAAAGCCTGGACTCAGGAACGATCCCCTCATCCCGTAACAAGAAAACCAGTCTTACCACGAACAAGCAGCGCCCCATGAGGCCTCGAAACCTCCGAAGAGTTGGAGCGCCTGGAGGCCTGGGAATGTGTGTTGTTGCGACCTCCGCAGCTGCTTGGGCTTTAGGGGGTCTCAGGATTATTGGGGGGTTATGTAGAGGTGATATAGGGGATATATAGGGGATACATTAAGATAATGGAAAAGAGAATAGAAATTAGTATTTAGGGTTTAGGGTTCAGGTTGAACGGGCTTCTCAGGATTTGAGAGCTGTTGGTGAGCGTCTCCCAGCGGGGTAAGGATGGAACCTCAGAACAACCCACCCAGCAAGGTTCTGAGCTGCAGCCAAAGGCCGGAGGATAAGGATTTTTTGATGTTGCTGTGACTTAGAATCTCACAGGGCTTTGCAACATGTTGTTAATTGCTCAGAAATACAAGGCTGCTCAACCACCCCAATGCGAAACCCTTCGCCTGAAGCCGATCATGGATACCCTATCTGGTCCTGCATCAAGCACGCCCTACAGGAGGTCCCAAACCCTCACCCCACTGTGCTTGCAAGATTGTTTATCACGAATTTGAGGACCTCCCAGGTTTGACGCTGCTCCGGCATGCAATTACGACTGCTGAAACGGCTGGTTTACGTTTATGCTCTGGCGCCTATTGAATAGAGTATGCTGCCACTGCTCTACGACACGTGAGGTTTCAGGCCTGAACGTCGGCCTCCCCTCCAAGATAGAAAGCACCGACCCAGTCTCGATTACTAGCGAGGCACCCCGGGCCAGGTCACCACCAGCAAGGGCCTTAGCTCATCGCCCCTGCTGTCATACACCCCGTGCCGAAGGTGCGTTGGCTCTAAATGGTGATCGGTTGCTTTCTGCCCCACACCCGGCCAATGGTGTGTAGGCAAGCCGGTCGACATATGGGCACGCCAGCTTCCCTCTGGGTAAGGCGGAGCTTTGACATGTAGGTCGCTCTCCAGCTTCAGACAGGCTCTGCATTCTGTCTCTCTGCCATCCGCCCTCCCTGGATGACATGCATGAAGCATACTACTTCAGCGGCTAGGTCGCCTCTTCATCGTGATGCTAGCAGCATCACGGCTTGACTGCAATGAGTCTGCAGAGTCCTCTGCCGT